CCCGACTTGAACCCTAGACCCTGACCCTAAACTCTAGTCCTAACCCTGAACCCTTAAACCTAACCCTGTATTCCAAGCTCTAACCATGACCTGAACACCTCACTCTAACTCCGAACCCCAGCTCTAAACACTAACGCCGGATCATACCCTGAACCCTAAGTCCTAGCCCTACACCCTCACCTCTAACTCTAATCCTGACCTTAACTCTGACCCCTACCTTGCCTTTGGAGGGACATGTGTGGAGTTTGTAAAAAGTGAAGACTCCGTAGGCTGAAACTCATCCTCCTTTGTGCAAACCCACCTACAATATCACCCCATGTGCGGACGTCTGACCTCCTGCGCATTTAAAATCCCATCGTGACGGAGGTTTGTCCTTGAAGAGAGGAACCGTTGAACCACGACAAGATGTGTAGGAACCCTAAGTGCACATTATTACAGAACAGAAGACAGTCTGCTAAGGTTCCATGCTGCAGGGTTCCAACACCCTGACATAATTATGGAAAATCCAAAACGGTGGACACAGTAAGAAGGATGGTGGTTGTCGGGGGTTGGGGAGGGAGGGAGCTTTAGGGGGACGCAGGGGATATTTGGGGTGGTGAAATGAGTCTGTGTGATACTATAATGCTGGACACGTGTCATTAAACATTTGTGCAAAACCAAAGAATGTAGAAAACCTGCCTTGGCTGGTTTTGCTCAGTGGTTAGAGCGTCAACCTGCAGACCGAAGGGTCGTGGGTTCAATTCCCGCTTAAGGGCATGTACCCGGGTTGCAGGTTCAATCCTCGGCTGTGGTCGGGGTCATGCGGGAAGCTACCAATGAATGTGTCTCTCTCACATCGATGTTTCTCTCCCTCCCCCGCTCCCACTCTCTCTCTGAAAATGAATGTAAAAATCTCCTCTGGTGAGGATGAACAACAACAACAACAGAGTGAACTCTAATATCAACTGCCGACTTGGTTCGTAACAATGTGTCCATGTGCATGTATCCATTGTAGCTCATGAGTCATCAGCTGTAACTAATAAGAAAAGCTGGGGTGGGGCAGGTGGGCAGACATTTGCTGTATTTTCTGCTCAATTTTCCGCAACCTGGAAACTGAGCAAAAAACCGAAGCCTAGTCATTTTTTTTTAAACAATAAAAATATAGAGAAAAACAACCTGGCCATAGCTGCCAGGTGAATGAATACTGCACAGTGACCCCTGCTGCGTAACCGCAGGCACAGACAAGCCTGGCAAAGGGAACTTGCACATCAGCGAAGCGTAAGTATGTATCGAGGCTCCTTAGGGAGCATGTCTTGGCTGCAAGGACTTAGTGTCTACCGGAAGGTGGATCAGACAGCCTTCTGACCTGCTAAGGCGAGGGCTCCTCTGTACCCCCAAGGTACCGATCCCAGTGATGACGACAGTGAGGGAAAGCTGCCCAGCGCAACCAACCGGACCGATGTACACAGGCTCCGCCACATGCCGGCCGAACCCGTTGTTGGATACGTGAACCTTTTCCTTTACATCTTTTTTAATTAAAAAAAAAAAATTTTTTTTCCAAATGACCATTTACAATGTGTGTTATTTTGTATGAGTTTTGGGTGCATGGTCTGCTGGTTGGATAAGCATACACTGTACAAAGTGGTATTTCCAGTGTCCGCCTGGCGTCATCCGTGGTGACGAGACTAGCGTGGACTACATTCCCGCACAGGATTTTTATCCCTGAGACTATTCTGTAACTGCCAGTCTCTATATTACAGTCTTGACATCTGTTTCATAGAATATTGTCCCTGTTCCATTGATGGACAAGACCCTTCTGGCCCGGCTGGTGTGGCTCAGTGGACTGAGCATCGTCCAGGGACTGAGAGGTCCTGGTTCGATTCCCGGTCAGGACACAGGCCAGGGTTGCAGGCTTGATCCCCAGCAGGGGGCGTGCAGGAGGCAGCCCACTCCTGTTTCTTTCTAATCAATATTTCTATCTCTCTCTAAAAAACCAATCAAGACATCTTAAAAAAAATAAAATAAAAATCAATAAAAAAAAAGTTTCTAATCTATGCGTATACTCCATGTCCACTTAAGTGTACTTCATTTCCCCCTGGGGAAAAAGAAGATGACTATTTTATAATCTCAGAAATTAAATTATATAATTCTTAGACATTGTAACATGTCGACGATCTCTGATTACTGAGTTTTAAAGCACCTTTTTAAAACTCGAATGTGTTGGGGCGACACTGGTTTGCAAAATTCCGTCAGGTATTGGTGGGGGAAACAGAATGACCCCACAGTGAGGGCGAGGCCTCTTCCTTGTGGGATTTGGTGACAAATCCTATAGGGACCCACAGAGAGGCTGAGCAAATGAGGCAGACAAATCACCCCGCTCTCGGAAATCACCTTGCTGGGCTCCCAAAGGTAAACACGGATCGTTAAAGCCCTCGGAAATGAGGAGCCTTTGACACGAGGCACAGTGAGCTGTAACAGCAGATGCAATTTTCAGAAAGTGCTGCAACCCTCCTTCCGCGCCAGTGCAAAGACACAGCGACCTTCGAAATCTAGCAGCCCGCAGGAAATCGTCCGTCCGCCTGTCTCTCTGTAGATCATCACTTACGGGGGAAATCGCTTCGTGAAGTTATCTAAGCGTCTAACCACTGAGCGGTACCCCTGAAACGTAGAGCGAATTTCAACTGTCACCGAACATAGAAATAAAATAAATGTGGAGAAGAAAAAAACTAAAGTACAGCACGGAAAATACAGTTAGAAATATTGTCATGACTCGGTACGGTGCCAGGTGTTTCTATCTCTCTCTCTCCCTAAAATCAATAAAAAAACATTAAAACTTTTTTTTTTTTAATGACAGGAAAAGAAGGACTCTTGTCTGAACACTTAAACAGTCAGGAAGGATCTGATTATGTTCAACAAGGAAGACACGGCGCCTTGAGTCTATACCAGACCTGCACATACGTGTAGGAGACGGTGTCAACTTTTCTTGGGAACGTTGAATCCTGGGCAGCAAAGTCATGTCAGGTGATACAGCTTAGAAAGGGTCTCAGAGACTCGGCAGAATAAGAATCATACATGTCAAGAGAACAAAAGAAATTGAAGTCATCAGTAGTCAGTTTCCCCAAACACAACAAGCCCCATAAAGACGATTCTACGGAACTGGAGTCTTCAGGTAGGAAAAAACTTAGGCATCGTTGGGCGGTCACATGCAAGATACAAATTCTCTGTTGGATGACGAGACCAGTAGATGTCTCTCTGGAGATGTTATGACCTATTCCCATAACCAGCATGAAGTGTATAGCATTTTTTTGTTTTTGTTTTCATGACAAATTTAAGTGCCTGGCATTTAATTGGATTAGCAGACCCAAGGAAGTATTTCTAAGGTGAGATCTCTCAGGGAGATGCGGTTGATTTTCCTGACCACACCAAACTTAGGGAGAACTGATGACTGTTGTCTTTGAGAGAAGTAAACTGGATGTTATTTTTCATGGCCAAGTAATATTCCATTTTTTATATGACCACCGTTTTTTTATCCAATCATCTACTGACGGACACTTGGGTTGTTTCTGTATCTTGGCGACTGTAAATAGTGCTGCTATGAATATAAGGGTGCAGATACCTTTTTGAATTAGTGGTGTTTTTTTTTTTTTTTCTTAAATAAGTACCCAAAAATGAAACGCTGGGTCATAAGGTAGTTCCCATTTTAAATCTGACGGTTTGCGACCACTTGGATGGACCTAGAGTATTACGCTCGGTGAGATAAGTCAGATAGAGAAAAACTGATCGCGAATGCTTTGTCTTATATGTGGAATCTAAAGAGCAAAATAAATACAAACAAAACAGAAACAGACTCACAGATGCAGAGAACAGACTGATGGTCACCGTGGGAGTGGGGCTGGGGGGCTGGGTGAAAAGGGGGAGGAGATTAGCAGGACAGATGGGCAGGCACAGAATAGTCACGGGTGTAAAGTACAGCCCAGGAAATACACTCGATAATATTATCATCACTGTAGACGGAGCCAGGTGAGTCCTTGACTTATGCACGAAATCACTTTGTAAAGTATATAAAAACCACTATGCTCTACACCGGGAGCTAATGGAATATTCAATATCAACTGCAACTGAAAAGTAACATTTTAAATGAGAAAGAAAAAGTACGAAAGACGACAGAGACCACGTTTCCAAGAAAATGCCCCTTAAGATTTCAGATGAAGGAATTTCGCCCCGGCTGGGTGAGTCTATGGTAAAAGGTGCGAGAAAAGCAATTGATTTCCCGTCATTTATCTATACAAAGTAGTCCTTTTCAGGACTAAAAAAATCAATGAAAACGTATTTTAAAAGGGCGGGGGTATAATATGTGACGTGTGGAGACATCGGGGGTCGGCAGCTCTGAGTCACGGGTGTTGTCTGATGATTATCCACCTGGATGGGTAACCCCCGCAGGTGCTAATTCCTGCATCTACTCCCAGTCACTTGATAGGAAGGAAGAGACAGGAGCATGTCGGCAGCTCTGACAAGGGGGACAACCCTGCCACCAAATGCAGAAACCATCACCTCCACCCCAGGCTCCCGGCCGCCCCTCCAGAGAAGGGAAAAGCAGCCAAAGACGGTTCTCTTCGACCCGCTGCTTGCTGTCCCCAACCGTGAATCGCCACGGACACCACGAACGCCACCAAGTCATTTCAACAAGGCTTTTGAGAAGCCACCAACTCATGTAAACAGTAGCCCCCCCAGACACGAGGGCAATTTCTGACACCTTTGTTCCAAGCGCTTCAACTTGTCAGCCGGGGCCCACGGACCCAGTGGACCTTGGCTCCCTTCCCGGCGGATTAGTCCTTAAGCGAGCGTTTTCAACAACATTCATTCAGATTTTGTACAACGTCATGTGGAACCCCCCCCCCCCGAGGAATCGTGCATACGTAGACACAGCGCACCCCTCCCCAAGGCCAGGTCAGCCAGCCGTGCCGAACCCCGTGTCACCAGGGTCCGATGGCACGCACAGCCAGTGGGACCACGGGAAATACCTTTCTCATTCAGCGTCTCTTCTTTGATCTTCCTCACCACTTCCTGGCCATTCGCTTCATGATTTGCCACTAAAAGGAAAAGAGGCAATGAGCGAAATTCCTCCAGAAACCGACCAACGTGCCCAAAACGTGTTCCCGAGATGACCTCCTCCTGCCTCTGTCTAGGACGGCGTGGGACCATCAGACAGACTGGGGCTGGGACGATGCATCCATTTCAGACCTATTTTATTTAGCCTGGACGGGCCAAGAGAGGGCATTTATCGGACACTGAACGTGTCAATCACTACAGGGACGGGAGGCCCCTGGTAGCATTATGAACACGGGGTGCCCGGGAATAGCATCCCCGGAAGATGGTGCACAGATATCAGACTGGAAAAGAAGCTTCTGCCCGGCCGGTGTGGCTCAGTGGACGGAGCGTCGTCCCTTGGATGGAGAGGTCCCGGTTCAATTCCCGGTCAGGCTCATGTCCGGGTTGTGGGCTCGATCCCCAGTGGGGGGCAACGAATCAATGTTCCTGTCTCACATTGATGTTTCTCTCTCTGTCTCCCTCCCTCCTTTCTGCCCTCTGTACAAGGAGAGGCAATAAAAAAAAAATATCCTTGTGGGAAGATTAACAACAACAATAAAAAATAAAGATGAAGAGCACAGCCGGTGAGGCTCAGTGGTTGAGCGTCGACCCTGCACCAGGAGGTCGCCGGTTCGATACCCGGTCAGGGCACAGGCCCAGGTCGTGGGCCCGATCCCCAGTGGGTGGCGTGCAGGAGGGGCCAGTCCATGTTCTCTCTCATCGATGTTTCTATCTCTCTCCCTCTCTAAAATCAATAAAGAATAAATATTAAAAATAAACAAAGATGAAGAAATCTGGGGTGAGATACAGGTAAGGCAGTTCGGTGAATGTCTTGGTTGGTGACTGTGTTGAGCGTGAATGGTTGGGGACACTGTTTGCCCAAACATCTCTGACCACTCGGACAGTGTGCCCAACGGGGCTGTTGTTCTGGGAAACACTTGGGAGAGGCCACCTTCCAGTCACGGGTCCTCGTTACTAACGGGGCCTCGAGCAGCCCATCAGACCCTTTGCGGGGTGCGCCCAGCCTGAGACTCCCTGCCCGGCGGGGTGGGTCACGGAGAGCATCCGCAGAGCGAGACAGTCAGGTACCCTGTGAGGAGGCAGGCGTGAGCCCAGAGGTCCTGGGACCCTGACATCCCCCAGGGCTCCAGCCACAGCACCTGAACGGAGAGAGGCAGGTACACAGGGTGGAGCCAGCCCGGTCCCCCTCCCACCTGGGCCAGGTGTGTTCTGGGCTGAACCATCTTGCCATCTGCATGAACCCATAGTCACAAGCCATCCTTTTTATTTTTTATGCGATTTTTTCATGCTGTATCTATACATGTTATTTTATTTTTTTAAATATGTTTTTCTTGATTTTTGAGAGACAGGACAAGAGAGGGAGAGAGAGAGAAACATTGATGGGAGAGAAACAACATGAATCAGTTGCCTCCTGCTCGCCCCCTACTGGGGATGGAGCACACCACACGTGCCCTGACCGGGAATCGAACTGGGGACCCCTTGGTGCACAGAGTGATGCTCAACCAATGAGCCGCACCGGCCGGGATTTATACATTTTTTTTTTTTAATTACGTCTTCTAACTAACAAGCACAAGGCCTCATTTCTCTGTTCTTTTCCATTGCATTTTGTATGATTTACTTTGGGTCCTTGACCAGTGCCCCCGTTAAGGTATGGAATGCCCTTTCGAAAATACATAAATAAATATAAGTGTTTACAGCAGAGTTACACACATACACACACGAGAGAGAGAGAGAGAGAGAGAGAGAGAGAGAGAGAGAGAGAGAGAAGAATAAACCGTAGTGAAACCGAAAGTCTTCCGCTCCTGCTCGAGATAAACAGGGAAAGGATGTGTTTTGGGTTGAACTGCAAAGAGTCAGGAGCGCGTCACGGCTTTGGAGAGTTCACAGGGGCAGAGGTGAAGAAGACGCAGCGGCAAAGTGATTTGCATAAAGAAACAGCAGTCTGAGCGACTCCTCTGTTTCTGCTCGGACGGTCTCCCCGCACAGGGCCCACAGCGGCAGGATGGGTATGTCGGAGGCAACGCGGATACCACCTTCCCTCTCAAAAGGCCAAGGAAAGAAAGGTCCGTGGTTAAGTGGGGCCAGGGATGTGGACGAGATATATTCCTGAAATCCCGCACGATTGTTAAATATTACATATTTGTTCCTCCAGCACCGAGCACCTCGGGAGGAATGTCTGGGACAGCGGACGCTTTAATAAAGTGAGATCCAAGCTCTCTCTTTTCCCAGAGATGCAATTGGCCCGAGGAAGCTGGGGTTGGAACCATCACGGTCATCACCTTCCCTACCTGGGCTGTCTGGAGTCGCATCGTATTACGGGTATAAACAATTTTACTTTTCTGCAAAAGTTATTATCTGAAGCTTCGTCCTGCAGGCAGTAGACATGGGCCATGACCAAAGGCAGTGGCTGCAATTGTTCCGACATTGATTGGGTGACTACGGCACACCAGGACCTACTCTACCTTGAGGGGTCCCAGGTGTACTGGGGCAACATGGTGCTTTGGAAGGGCGACCTGTCCTGTAGAGGTCCCCTCCCTGGGGACTGGACTCATCCACCAGATTTCGGGGATCTGCAAGAAGCAATAAAAGAAGAAGAAGAAGAAGAAGGAGGAGGAGGAGGGGGAGGAGGAAGAGGAGGAGGAGGAGAAGAAGAAGAAGAAGAAGAAGAAGAAGAAGAAGACGACGACGACGACAGGGAGCCCAAACCAGGGGCCACATCTGAACGGACACTGATATTGGGGGAAAAGTTTGACTGGAATACAGCCATGCCCAATCAAACTATCGGCCACGGATATTCATGGAGCTGATCACTGCAAAAGGGATGGAGGAGAATATGTACTATGTGGCCCAGTCTAGGAAGAGTTTACTGACCCCTGGGATAAACGTTATATGACCATCCACTGAGAAGAATACAAAAAAAGAAAAAATAAATAAAAAAGATCCACCACCTAAAAAATAGACCTTGGAAAAATAAGACGAAGACCGTGGGAACAGAGGGGAAGAGGAATAACGGATGTGTTCAGAGCCACATGCGTTCGCCTGGGTTGATCGCAGACTGTCCTTTGCATTCCTTAAGAAGTAATTGATTATTCTCTAAATAGTAATAGACTGGGGGTGAAGCCATCTGAGATGGGATGTGGCCACTGCTTACGTTGTCCTTCGGATGGAAATGCACCGTGTCCAATGATCATGTTTCAGGAAGTGACCTTCCCAGCAGCTGTCATGCAGAATGAAAAATGGTCCCTCTCAGCATCTATCCAATTATCCCCTCAAAGTCACATGGAGGAGGGAAGAGGCCTTCTTGATTGGATTGCGGGGGAGGGTCAACCCCGGGAGCCGCAGGAGAGGTCACCACGGGCCTCAAGCGCGGGGGGAACAGAGACGTGAGGGTGGTGAGGGGGTGGCGTTTGCTCTCCGTTTCAGTCCAGAATGAAACAGGCACATGTGGTGCTGACAAGCGCTGGTCCTGATGCTCAGCAAACATCACCCCAGTCAGGGGATCGCTGTCCGGGCTCCCGTCCCTGCTGGCCTGGGGGCTGCCCGCTGGTGCACAGGGGTTCCCTGCATTTTGTCTGCGGTGCATCTCCTCATCCTCAAGACGTCAACATGGTGAAATCCTGATCAAACTAAACTCCCTCAGGACCTAATCCAGCCAGACCTGTCCATGGTCTAATCCAAGTGGACTGCCCCATGATCTCACCCAACCAGACCTCCTCCTCCTCTCACCCAACCTCCCCTCCTCATCTCACCCAAACAGACCCTCCTCCTCATCTCACCCAACCTCACCTCCTCATCTCACCCAACCAGACCCTCCTCCTCATCCCACCCAACCTCCCCTCCTCCTCATCCCACCCAACCTCACCTCCTCCTCATCTCAACCCACCTCCTCCTCATCCCACCCAGCCTCCCCTCCTCCTCATCCCACCCAACCTCACCTCCTCCTCATCTCACCCAGCCTCACCTCCTCCTCATCTCACCCAACCTCCCCTCCTCCTCATCTCACCCACCTCCCCTCCTCCGCATTCCCCCAGCCTCCCCTCCTCCTCATCCACGCCACCTCACCCTCCTCCTCATCCCACCAACCTCCACTCCTCCTCTCCCACCCACTCTCCCTCATCTCAACCCACCCAACCTCCCCTCCTCCTCATCCCACCCAACCTCCCCTCCTCCTCATCCCACCCAACCTCCCCTCCTCCTCATCCCCCCCAGCCTCCCCTCCTCCTCATCCCACCCAGCCTCCCCTCCTCCTCATCTCACCCAACCTCCCCTCCTCCTCATCCCACCCAACCTCACCTCCTCATCTCACCCAACCAGACCCTCCTCCTCATCTCACCCAACCTCCCCTCCTCCTCATCCCACCCAACCTCCCCTCCTCCTCATCTCACCCAACCTCCCCTCCTCCTCATCCCACCCAACCTCCCCTCCTCCTCGTCTCACCCAACCTCCCCTCCTCCTCATCCCACCCAACCTCCCCTCCTCCTCACCCCACCCAACCTCCCCTCCTCCTCATCTCACCCAACCTCCCCTCCTCCTCATCTCACCCAACCTCCCCTCCTCCTCATACCCACCCAACCTCCCCTCCTCCTCGTCTCACCCAACCTCCCCTCCTCCTCGTCTCACCCAACCTCCCCTCCTCCTCGTCTCACCCAACCTCCCCTCCTCCTCATCCCACCCAACCTCCCCTCCTCCTCGTCTCACCCAACCTCCCCTCCTCCTCATCTCACCCAACCTCCCCACCTCCTCATCCCACCCAACCTCCCCTCCTCCTCATCTCACCCCACCTCCCCTCCTCCTCATCTCACCCAACCTCCCCTCCTCCCTCCTCACCCAACCTCCCCTCCTCTCTCATCCCAACCCAACCTCCCCTCCTCCTCGTCTCACCCAACCTCCCCTCCTCCTCGTCTCACCCAACCCCCCTCCTCCTCATCTCACCCAACCCTCCCCTCCTCCTCGTCCTCACCCAACCTCCCGCTCTACTCCTCATCTCATCCCATCAATCCCATCTCACCCAACCTCCCCTCCTCCTCATCCCACCCAACCTCCCCTCCTCCTCGTCTCACCCAACCTCCCCTCCTCCTCATCTCACCCAACCTCCCCTCCTCCTCGTCTCACCCAACCTCCCCTCCTCCTCATCCCACCCAACCTCCCCTCCTCCTCATCCCACCCAGCCTCCCCTCCTCCTCATCCTCACCCAACCTCCCTCCTCCTCAATCCCACCCAGCCCCCTCCTCCTCATCTCACCCACCGCCCCCTCCTCCTCATCCCACCCCGCCTCCCCTCCCTCCTCTGCCCACCCAGCCTCACCTCCTCCTCAGCTCCACCCAGCCTCCCCTCCTCCTCATCCCACCCAGCCTCCCTCCTCCTCATCGCACCCACCTCGGCCCGTCCTCCGCACCCACCACACCTCCCTCCCTCCTCTATCTCACCCAACCTCCCCTCCTCCTCATCCCACCCAACCTCCCCTCCTCCTCAATCCCACCCAGCCTCCCCCTCCTCCTCATCTCACCCAACCTCCCCTCCTCCTCATCCCACCCAGCCTCCCCTCCTCCTCATCTCACCAACCTCCCCTCCTCCTCATCCCACCCAGCCTCCCCCTCCTCCTCATCTCACCCAACCTCCCCTCCTCCCATCTCCCCAAGCTCTCCCCTCCTCCTCATCCCCCCCAGCCTCCCCTCCTCCTCATCCTCACCCAAATCCTCCCCCTCCGCCTCACCCATTCCCACCCAGCCCTCGCCCTCCTCCTCATCTCACCCAACCTCCACCCTCCTCCTCATCTCAACCCAACCCCCTCCCTCCTCCTCATCCCACCAACCTCCCCTCCTCCCTCATCCATCCCACCCCGCCTCCCCTCCTCCTCATCTCACCCAACCTCCCCTCCTCCTCATCTCACCCAACCTCCCCTCCTCCTCATCCCACCCAGCCTCACCTCCTCATCTCACCCAACCTCCCCTCCTCCTCATCTCACCCAACCTCCCCTCCTCCTCATCTCACCCAACCTCCCCTCCTCCTCATCCCACCCAGCCCGCCCCTCCTCCTCATCTCACCCAACCTCCCCTCCTCCTCATCTCACCCAACCTCCCCTCCTCCTCATCCCACCCAGCCTCCCCTCCTCCTCATCTCACCCAACCTCCCCTCCTCCTCATCTCACCCAACCTCCCCTCCTCCTCATCCCACCCAGCCTCCCCTCCTCCTCATCTCACCCAACCTCCCCTCCTCCTCATCCCACCCAGCCTCCCCTCCTCCTCATCCCACCCAGCCTCCCCTCCTCCTCATCTCACCCAACCTCCCCTCCTCCTCATCTCACCCAACCTCCCCTCCTCCTCATCCCACCCAGCCTCCCCTCCTCCTCATCTCACCCAACCTCCCCTCCTCCTCATCCCACCCAGCCTCCCCTCCTCCTCATCTCACCCAACCTCCCCTCCTCCTCATCTCATCCAACCTCCCCTCCTCCTCATCTCACCCAACCTCACCTCCTCATCTCACCCAACCTCACCTCCTCATGATCAAACTAAACTAAACCCCCTCACGATCTAATCCAACCAGACCTCCTTCTGATCCCACTTAACCGGACCTGCTCTTGACCTCACTCAAGCAGGACTGTTCGTGATCTCCCCCATCCAGACCCCCTCATGGTCTAACCAAACCAACCACCTCGTGATCTCCCCCATCCAGACCCCCTCATGGTCTAACCAAACCAACCACCTCGTGATCTCCCCCATCCAGACCTCCTCATGGTCTCACCAAACCAACCACCTCGTGATCTCCCCCAACCAGATCTTATCTTGACCAAACCCAACTGAATGTCATTACGATCTTCCCCAGTTAGACCTCCTCACGACCTACCCAGCTAGGCCTCATCACGATGTGATCAATCTAGATGTCATGACGTGGAACCCACCACACTGAGTCAGAACGCATAGAAAAATGGGACTTTCTGTGTCTGCACCCCAACGTTGTCTACTCTCCCTAAGAATTCAGAAAACAAAGACAAAAGCTCCATTGCAGGAACCATGGTCATAGCTAGAGTGCTGTGTACCAGACCCCCACTTTGCTCCGGTGGGGGGGCCCCCTTCTCATCCTCCTCTAGTATTATCTTTCCACCGTTAGCCCAGGCCCAACACACCCTCAGAGGGGCCCTATGGCTCTTCCTGTTTCAGTGCTAAGGTCAAGTCATTCCAAACACCGGCAGGGATCCAACGTAAAGACCTCAGAAGCTCGTTATGTCTTCAATGACACAACAGAAAACCAACTACCTTGGAACATCAAATTGAGGGGGTTCCACCCCCTCTTGAGTCCCCCCGCAAAGCCCCTCTGATCCTAGGCCTGTCTTCTTGAGTTTCTCAGGTCCCAGGAGAGTTGAACAAACCACGACAGGGCTACAGTGGATGGGAAGGTCCAGACATTCACCCTCAGATTTGTCCTCTCCCCTCCCAGGACCTCCCCTGTTGCAACCAACCCCTAGTCACCCAGGGGAAGATACGGACGTTGGTCATTTCAGGGACTTGTCAAAAGCATTTAACATTTTCACTTCTCTTAAGAGAGTGGATATAGCCCTGGCCGGTTTGGTTCAGCAATGGGAGCGTCGGCCTGCGGACCAGAGAGTCCCGGGTTCGGTTCCCGCTAAGGGCACGTACAAAAAAAAAAAAAAAAGAAAAAAAAGAGAGAGAGAGGAGAGAGAGAATGGATACAAAGAGAACAGGCTTAATCCGTACGCCTCTGCCTCTGTTGGATCTCTAAGCACATCAATGCTGACGACCCCGGATGAGCAAACAGCTCTGCATGTCCCATGACCCACGGGAGACAACTGGGCGTCAGAAGCATCACCTATGATGACACGCATGCCGAGTCTTGCCAGGTGCCTGCAGGTAGCCAAGCCGATTCCCTCTGTGCCTCCTGTCACTATAGCAACACGGTCAGGCTGCCGAGGGAAGACTGTGGAAGGAAAAAGAAGAGATTGGTGAGCAGCGGGCACGGTGGCAGGGGTTCAGCCCCTACAGGGGGCCAACGGCAGCTGGGCTTCCACCGCGGGGGCTCCTCGAGGGACGGCAGCCTGGAGAAAGACCCCTGAGAAAGCCGTCTTCCCCCCACACCCGCTGACGTGTCTGGAAGAACGTGCTACGCTACGTTGCCCAAATGACTTGCAAAAGGTCCAAAAAATGTCTACTGTCTGTAGCCATGGGTGAGACTCCTGGGTACCCCCCCAGACAGCGCCGGGCAGTGCATTAGGGTGGGTGCGTGCGTTAAAGTGTAGTTTTATTATTATTATTATTATTTGAATATTGTTCAAGTAGGTCAGAAATGACAGCCGTTGGAAGGTGGTTGGTTCCTCATGGTTCCCCCAGGAGGGGGCGCTCCAGGGCACATGGGGCAGCACCAGGGTGAATTGGGAGGCAGAGGGGGACTTGGGAACATAGACAACCCCCATTACTGGGGGTTCCTGCCAGGAAATACCAAGGAGGAAGGGTGAGCAAGCTGAGGACTGGCCAGTGGGCATCATTCAGCCCCGAGGTGTCCGACCTACTTCTCTCTAGAAATGACCAAACCCCAGAGGCTGCACCATAGTTAACAGGGGCAAAGATGCACTTTTAAAATATATAAATATTGGAATACAAAATATATAAATATTGGAACGCCTAAAGGCAAAATTACATCCATACCTCGCAGTCCCCATCAAAAGAAACGTCAAGATTAAAAAAAAAAAAAAAAAAAAAAGCCACACAAAAACGTTAAACAATCAAAATACTGGAAGAAAGTACAAATGGAGTTTATGGTCAGCGTCCCTGTAGGAGACACGTTCCTCGCGGTCGGTCAACGTTGAGAAGCAGAAATAGACAAATTTTACGACGCAAACGCAATTTTACATGGTAAGGAAAAACACCAGCCCTGGTCAGTGTGGGTCAGTGGTTAGAGGGTCGGCCCTCGAGCCAAAGGATCTCAGGTTTGATTCCTGGTCAAGGGCATGTACCTGGGTGGCAGGTTCGATCCTCAGCCCTCATCGGGGCATGTGCAGGAGGCAACCAACTGATGTCTCTTTCTGTCTCTCCCTCCCTCCGTCCCTTTCACTGTCTAAAAATTTCAATAAAGCCCTGGCCGGTTTGGCTCAGTGGTTGGAGCGTCGGCCTGCGGACCAGAGAGTCCCGGGTTCGGTTCCCGCTAGGGACACGTACCAAAAAAAATTATTTTTGCAATAAAGCCCGGCCATTGTGGCTCAGTGGTTGAGCGTCAACCCTACACTAAGGTGTCGCCGGTTCGATTCCCGGTCAGGACACATGCCCAGGTTGTGGGTCCATCCCCAGTGGGGGGCGTGCAGGAGGCGGCCAGTCCACGTTCTCTCTCATCCATGTTTCTATCTCTTTCTCCCTTCTTCTCTCTCTAAAGTCAATAAAGAAAAATTTTTTTAAAAATTTTTATTAATTTATTTTTGTTACAGATTTTTTTCTCCCTAGACACCCTCCTCCCCATTCTGCCCTCAAAAAATTTTTTTAAAAATTAAAATTTCAATGGAAAAAATAACCTCAGGTGAAGATTCCCCAAACCAAAAACAAAGAGAAAAAAAAAATCACCACATACAAAAATAAACAATGCACTAGAAAGACATTTGCAACTCCTTACTGCGCTCAAACACAAGTTTCCTCATATGTAAAGAGTTCTTAAAAATCAAGAAAAAGAAACAGACACCCTACAGAGAAAAGGGGGAAAAAAATAAGTGTTTCTGTAAAAGCATACCCAAATGGCCCTTACCAGTGCATGTTCAAGTTGATGCCTAGCCCTGGCCAGGTCGCTGAGTTGGTTGGAGCATCACCCCAATATCTTCTCCCTCCCTGCTCCCCTCCTCCTGAGACCAGGTAACTGTAGTTTCACAGTTCACTGTCCCAACGCAAAGCTCTTTGCCACCGATCTGTCTTTGGATAATCACGCAATTTGCATACATGAAAGAGGCAACTAGTACCCCCAACGCTATACACTCAGGAGAGGCATGATGTTCACAGAACCCCAGAAAAAAGCTCCCTTGAGGAGCCCGGGTTACATTGGGACCACCCTCAGCTCACAGTTCTCAAAAATCTAACTTGCGAGGTGGACCTCACGCCTGGGTGCCGGCTGACATTGGGAAAAATGATAAAATGACGACTCCCTGTAGACCCGACTCACTGAACCCCGCAAAAAATCGGACATGGCCCCGAGATTGAAGCCTGTAAAAATCCAATCTTCAAGATAGCGGAAACGGAGGAGGTCCTAGCAGGATGGTTCTTTCTAAGGAAAACGCAAAAGTCGCGGAGAAGAAAATTCCGTAACCGTGACAGCGGAAAAATTATTCAATGCTGTAGAGCCGAAACTGCCTCAAAGGGCCGTGGGCAAATTGCAGGACCTAGGATCAAGAATGCATTTTTGTTTGTAAAGAGCTCTCGTCACATAACTGGGACTCGCCCAACAAATCCCCCAAAAGTAGGCAGAGAAAATGCTAAAGGGATCCATAGATGTTGAATAAAGTAGAGATCCGGAAAACGATGTGGAAACTGACTCGTAATTAAAGAATGTCAAAGTACGTTAGTAGTCTCATCATTCAAAGAAGTAGCGGGGGTCTGCCCCAGGGTGGGTACATCCCCCCCAAATAATTGAACACTTGCCCAGTTAATGAATTTTCCACCAAGAGTGTATCCTCTTAGGAGATGGTGGGAGATGACTGTTTATGCTGAATTGCAGAGTCTCTTTGAGCCAGCAATTCAATTCTAACAATTAATACCCCAGACGCACTCCCACCGGGAGGTAAAATACATTTTTTAAAAATTTTATTACATTCTTGTTTACAATAGAAAGAGGGTGGGTCTGATGGTCACCTTGTGGGAGAGTTTTTACAGGTGTTATTCTAAAGAAAGTCATCATTGTTCCAACAATAACTTGGATGACTCTCCAGGGAATGACACGGAAGTGGGGAAAAAAAAAAAAAAAAAAGGAGCCGTTTAAAAAGGTCCCATTGTGTACGGCCTCATTTGCACGGCATTGTTGGAAGCACAGAGTTGCACAAGCAGAGAGGAGATGAGTGGTTGCCCGGGTGATGTGGGGGTGGGAGCTGAGGCCAGAGGAGGTGGGTGGAGTTAGCGAAAGGCCACCGCCAGGTCCTGGGGGGCTCAGCCGTCGTCTGTTCCTGACTCTGACGGGGGCACTCAGACCCCTCCCTCGCACGGCCGAATCACACGGGACGACATACACAACACACAACAGATACACGCATGCACTGGGAACCTGGGTAATAAGTCCCCCGGGGTTCGTCCATGTTGGTGTCTTGATTTGACACAGTGCCGACAGTTTTGCGAGATTCTATCCTCGGGCAGAAACTCGCGTATGGGTACATAGCCTTCCCGACAGTCTTTCTCCCGGCCTGTCTGCACCCACGAGGATCACAAAGGGAAACCTTTTTGTTTTAAAGTCTTAGAAAACAAACACCAAGAAATGAACAGAAATCTAAGCGATGCCTTATAAGAGTGTTGTATAAAAATAAATAATGAATGAAGACGATGTCTACTGGCCTCCTCGGCCCTCAGGTATTTGGAAAGCATCGTGTATCTTTTTTTTTTTTATCCTCACCCGAGGACATTTTCCCATTTTTTGTTCAGATAGAGTGGGAGGCAGACAGAGGAAGAGAGAGAGACAGAAACATCGACGTGAAGGGACACATCGAGTAGCTGCCACCCGCACGACCAACCAGGGCCGGGGACACACTGCAACCGAGGTCCGTGCCCTTAGCGGGAACCGAACCCGGGTCTCTCTGGGCCACAGGCCGACGCTCTAACCGCTGAGCCAAACCGGCCAGGGCAGCACTGTGCATCTTTGGGCACCTGTCTGAATGGCTAATGGATATTTTCTGGGTATTTTCTCAAATACGAACCTGGTTCTCTCTGGGGTCACAAGCCCTTGTGGACAGGTGTCCGCACACACATGTATTTATAAAGAGTGACAGACAGAGAAAGATATTTGTCATCAGAAACTGACACCTTCAATGGCAGACGTACAGAGATGGGCAACTTCAGAATCCGCGGGGTAGACCAGCAGTCTGGAGACCTCGGGGATAGTTCTCTTGCAGCTCAAATCTCAAGGCCAGCGGGAGGCACGATTCCCTCTTCCCCCAGACACCTCCACGTTCTCCTCTGGGAGTGACCTTCGACTGATTAGATGAGGCCCACCGACGCCACGGAAGGCAATCTGCTTTGAGAAACGTCTACGGATGTCAAATGTTCGGCTCATCCGAAACAAACCCCTTCACAGCCACACACACGCTGGCCCACGTCCAAATGTCTGGGGCGCCAGACCACCCCCGTTGACGCACACAGTCAGCGGGAGGAAATGTAAGCGGTTGCATGCTAGCTGGTGGTGGGCGTCATCTGGAAGCTCGGACCCAGCTACGTGGGTCAAGTCCTTCGTGTGCCAAGCTGTTGCCCGCAGCAGGAACTAGAGGAAACAGGAACTGTGATTCCGAGGAAAGAACTGGAGAGGAGCCAAGACCCACTGGGCTGATCCCAGCTTTCTCTGCATGAAGGAGCCTTAAATGCATGTAATTGAGGGAAAAGGCAATCTGAGGTGGGTACGTACTGAGTGATGCCAAATCTCTGACTTCCTGGAAAAGGCAAAACTATAGAAACAGCAAAAAGATGCATGTTTGCCGGGGATGGGACGGGGGGAACAGGTGCCACACTTCTGAACGGGCACCTCCACTGAACCCTCGTGTGAACCGTGGCCTCGGGGTGATGAGATGTCAACGTAGGTTCATCGTTTGCACGAAGTGTCCCGGCTCGTGGGGGATGCTGGTAATTGGCTGTGCCCGTGGAGGGTCGGGGCCAATATGGGACATTTCTGCCCTTCCTCTGAGTTTCGCTGTGAAGATAAAACTGCTCTCCACTATGAAGTCTGTTCGTGTAAAAACGGAGTCGAGATGATGC